TTACAATTGCAATAGAGAGAGAACCATCAAAAACACAAGATTGATCGGGAAGGAAAATAGGCTACGAGTCAATAGAGATTGTGATATTATGGAAAAAGGATAGAACTTGGGAAGTAAATTGTGGGATTATAGTTACTATGCTTTTTTGTTTCTACTTGTTTATGAATTTATTTCAGTATTTTGTGAATAAGAAAGGTTCTAAAGTAAAATTGAGATTTTAGAAATAATTAAAGTAGATGAGGCAATTTTTTCAAAATGTAACAGTGACATCTGGAGCCCAACTCGACCAAAATGTGCTTTTTGAAAAATAAATTGTAGCTAGGCCCAATGGAATAAAGAAAGAGAACCTTAATTAAAAATGCAAAAATGACTTGTGTTCAATGAATTTTAATTTATGTATATTTATATCGTTGAATAACAATCTAGTTTTAAATTTTATCTCTATATTTCGTTATCTATCGTCCCTTATCAAACTCACATAAATTACTTAATTATGATTTTTCACATAATCTATGTGGTACACTAGAAACAAAAGTAGTTAATGAAGGTTATGACAATATATTTAGACTAAAAGGTTAAAATGTGTTATTTTTAAGAACAAATTTATGATGTGTCTTAATGGTACTATAACATGTCACGCAACGATTACATGGTAGATCCATATCGACGAGACCGGCTATTAAACAGTCAATGGTCCAATTTGAAATTAAAATTGGAATGGAGTGATCTAGAAAGACATATTGGAATTTAGTGATTTAATTAAAATTTTGTTGAAAGTTCAATGATTATTGATGAAATTTACCCCATAAATAAGAATAAATCAAAGGGTAATTCACACTACGTTTTTTATTTGTCATACCACATTTTTAAATTTCATTTGAATCCCTCAATCTTTGTTTACTATAACCCTAAACTTTATTTTTTTACACATTTTTATCTTCAACATTTTAATTAATTAGCACATCTCATATCTTATACTGGTTTCTGCCAAACAAGTTGGTTTGGAGGCATGATACAACTAATTTTTCAATCATATTTTTTAAAAAATAATACTAAATGAATAAGTTATATATATATATATATATATATATATATATTTTTTCTCATCTTAAAGCACACAAAAAATATTTTAATTGGAACCATCACCAAGAACAAGATTTGTTAATTAATAAAATGTTGAACATAAGAATTCAATGGAAAAGAAGTATGGACAAAAGTTTTACAATGAGGAAAGTTTGTGGACCTTAGTGAAATTAAAATGTGATGCTATTAATAAAAATTGTGGTCTAAATCAAAGGCTACTATTTCAATTTTTTTGAGGGACATAAGACATAATTGACCTTTTGCTTTTTCACTAGGGTCTTTGGACTTATTTGTCCTTGATTACACCTTAGTCCATCAAAATGATGATAACATTAGATAATTGCTATAATGATGACAAATTATTAAGGTGTATTAACAAATCATAATGTATAAATATGCTTAATTTTGTCTTGGAAAGCTAAATTTCACCAATTCTTGACATATGGTCAAAATATTTGTGAATGAATGTCTCCTTAATCTTGTACTTTCTCTTAAAACTATGAGGTAATTATGTTGTCTGAAAAGTTACTTTATACATGCTTATAGTGATTAATTTTTTTTCCATGATTGAAATCTAAAATTGTTACAGACTCTACTCAATTGCTATATATAGGATGGTGAAATTGAATTATTATTGTGAAATTAAAATGTATCATTAAAAACTTTATGGCACAATGCAATTTTGTAGGGTTATTGTCATTACCTTTCGACAGCATTAAGATGAGCAGCATCCATTCCCATGGAGATAAAAGTGAAAGGCATGCTTGTAATGATGTTTAATGATGGTGGTAATGATAATAGA